CCCTCGCTGGGTTCCAAGGCTCGGCAGGCCGTCTCTTGCTGGGGTCCTGTGGGGACCCTTTGTTTACCTATGGAGGCCTTGTGTTTATCTATAGGAACCCTGTGCTTACCTATGGCACCCTGTATTTTCCTATGAGGATCAAGTTGGAGGCAGCCCACCCTGATCCAGCCCATTGCATATGGGCATACCCATACCAGGTTGTCTCTCAGGTACAGAGTGGGTTGGCTTGGTGGCTGTTTTCCTCTTAAATGAAATCACCTCTGTGTTAACTCATCTTTAAGACAGGGAGAACACAGGCACAACCACAGTTTTCTTCTCAAGCAGCAGTGCCTGGTGTGCAAAGCTATCAGCTCTTCACGTGCTGAGTTATCACTTGCAAACTCAGTTTATGAAGTCCCATGTGCACGTTTGATTAAGCTCTGTGGCTTGAGTCTCTTTTAAAACTTGCAGGAGTATCGGTAATATAGGCTTAAAGTAAGAGATGTGAGGGAATACAAGATATCTGAGATGTATGAGTAAAATTTGGAATGAGACAATATTAGCCAGAGGTTTTGGCTTTCCAGGTGTGTGTAAACAAACAAATGTGCTCCTGTTTCTCAGGTGTGATGAGGGAAGTAGTTCAGCGCAGGTCTAGTTCATTCCTTCTTTTAAATGATTTGCACACAAAGTAGTAGAATGAGATCCTTTGAGTGAGGAGTTTCCCTTGTTTTGGTTTATGTTTGCTCATAACTGTAGATTTTATGGTTGGTTTTTTTATTGGCAAAAGGAAGGCTCTTATTTTTTGCACAGGATCCTTGTAAGATGGTGATGTGTACTGCACTCTCTTCCTTGTTTTCAAAAAGAGATATGAAAAGCAGGAAAGGGAATGAAATTTGAGTTTTACCGCAGATACGCAGGGATGTGTTATCTGTGTTTTGAAAGTGCTTTTTATCACCCATCATCTTGGAATCCAGACATTGTTATCATGGGTTAATATAAATACACAGAAACAGGAAAGAGAGGAGGCTGTTCCTGAAGAATTTATGGCTTAGTGACCAAATTTAGCGTTTGTTTCCCTTTGAAGCATCCTCTGTTTTCGGTCCCTTCAAAGTTGGGGGAAGTGAGTTAGTTCTGGTAGCATGCATGCATCCAAGTTATTTCCAAAGTTGTTGTTTTTTTTTCCCTTGCATCTTTTTCCAAGAAGTTCAGGGACAGGAAGGGCTTGAAGAGGATTGAAATGACTCTCACAGAAATGTGGTTTATATTCTGATGTTAATCTTCCTGGATTATCTCCTGTGCTTTCTGTCTTTGTGTTCCTTACAGTAAATATCAAGCATTCTCCCTCTTACCAGTGATTACAGCATGAAAGGCGAATGCGTACGGCCGTCATTTTCATTTATGAGCGTGTCAGCTCTTTTGCGCTACCGCGATGCTCGTGAGCCTGTCATCCTCCCGTGTTATTTGTCTGAAGGAAGAAATCTCAGATCAAAAGATGTGATTAGCTGCTTCAAAGTGTGCTGATACAAGTTCAGTCAAGCATCAGAACTGAGGCAGTTACATGGCACTGAACATCTAACTAACTAAAGCGGTTTCCCCCCACCCCGTATTCTGGTACAAGTTGATGGTGGAAAGGAGTGCCACTTCCTTTTGTCATTTATTTAATTGTGGCAGTAATAACATTCGTGGCTCTGGAGAGCACAAAGACTTTTGTCCTGGGCTCCAGTGTTGGTTATATCCCCCCCCACCCCTACTCTGTCTCTGTTTGTTCCTTTAAAGGTGTTGGTTTGCATTTGTGTGTGCAGAGATAGATCTTCTCACTGCTGAGTATCTGCAAAAGCTGTTCTGCCCCAGTGTTCATATGCCAAAATTTTTTAAAGGGTCATGATCATAAATTCCCTGTTTGAAAATACAGGGAGAATATCCGCAGAACTAAAGACCAAATATTGCTGTCTCAAGCTGTTAGTTTTGAATCCGAGTAGTGAATTATTTTCTTACTGATGCAAACAGTGATCTGTGTTACAATTGTATAAGCAAAGCCCTGTGCAGGGATTTATGCACCTGCCGTGATCCCTGGATCATGGCATAACATGTGGATGTTATTTCCCCCCCCACAAAGAAGAGAGGAGCTGAAATGCCAGAGTCTGGGTGGGAGCCAGGGTTGTGGGCTGGGGGATGCTGTTGATACTGATTTGGTCTGTCAGCTTCTGCATCTTGTGACAGCCAGGCCTGTGTCTCTTTACAGGAGTTGTTTGCCGGAAATATGGCTACGGACTGGCTCGGGAGCATTGTGTCAATTAATTGTGGAGAAAGCTTGGGAGTCTACCAAGGCCGAGTGTCTGCTGTGGATCAGGTCAGCCAGACCATTTCCCTGACACGGCCCTTCCATAATGGGGTCAAGTGCCTCGTGCCAGAAGTCACCTTCAGGTTAGTGTCCGTTCGGTGTTTTTTTCCCTCCTGCCTTTTTCCAGGCAAGGTCTGTGATGCTTTGGATGTTTTGTTTTGGTTTTTTGTTTGGTTTTTTTTCCCCTCCCAAAATGGGCTCTTTGCCTTAAATTCCCTGACCGCTACTGAGCATCTTGGGATGAGAAACACTCCTTGTGTTTCTGGTAGTTTTGTGCAGGAGGTTATTTTCTGGCTCTGCGATCCTAGTGTTTGAAGTGGTGTAGCTCACATTTGAAGGTCATTTGTAGGTAGGCTCTGTGTGTGTGTATGTAGATACATATTCTGTGTATACATTCTGGTTTTCGGTTTTTGAGTGGCTGAGGGATCTGGCATACTCTTAAAGCTTGACCCTCAGCACGTGTACTTATGTATGTGTAATTAAAAGTATGACAGAAAAGAAAGCAGCGTGATCAATTAAAAATTACTGCCCTGATACAATGACATTAACTGGAGTCATTAAATCCAACTCCATCCCCTCTGTCCCTGGCCGTGTTCTTTCCTCAATGGAGACAGGAGAGAGTTTTGAACCAAGAGGATGGATCAATGCAGCTGTATTGTAGCTTTCAGGAATCCTTTCCCACCAGCTTCTGGTAACGCTGTGCTTAAAAAGAATAAATAAGAGTCACTCCTCGCTGGATATTTTCCTGTTACCTGGTATATTGCAATAGTGAAGACTCTGAGTCACTGATTTTTTTAAATAAGATTGATTCCCTGAAGCCAATACTTTTTAATTTGGTTTTGTTGTTTTTTTTGTCTTGGATTTTGATGAGAGAGAATGGAGAAAGAGGACGACCATACTCTTACAGATGTGTGAAAGGCTGTAGCAAACTCTTGCTACTTTTATATCCCAGTTGGACCAATACTTACTAAGTTTAAAATAGAAGACCCTAACTTCTGATTTATTCCTTGCAATCAGTGCAAATGAAGGTCTTTGTAAGCACTTCTTTGTTTGGTTTTGGCTCGTGCCCAGTGCTGTATTAGTTTATCCTTTTTCTGAGGAAACGGGAAGTGCCATCCCTGTCTGAGCGTGAATTGCCCTGATCTAAGGATAGCTTTCTGTAGAAATGGATTAAAAGTAATAGTAGCCTCAAGGCTGAGGTTAATGATATTCTCTAGAAATGGTTAAATTAATGCAGATTTCTGCAAAAGTCTGTCAGTTGCTTCCGTTTCCTGCCTGACCAATTTCTCTTTCAGGTAGGAACAGAACCTTTAAAACACAATCCAGGTGCAGTATAGAAATACTCGAGCTGTTGTTTTGAAGATTTGTACCATTTCAGTTGAATACTTTGATGTCTGTGGAAGTAGCCTCTATGTTTGGGTATTAAAATATTTTTTTGTTGTTTCTCTTGACAATAGCATCAGAAAAAATCTGCTGTACAATGTTGCTTGTTTTCCTTTAGTGTCTGTTTTTTGTGAAGGTACTAAATTCCTCGATGTCTGGTTTTCTTTCCCTGTTTTTAGGGCGGGTGACATTACTGAGCTGAAAATTCTGGAGATCCCAGGGCCAGGGGACAGCAGACAATGTGGGGACCCGCAGCAGACAGAAATGGCCATCCCTGGTGTTGGATGCCAAGTGGGTCCCAGTCAGAATGGCACTGGGAAAGTGTTAAAGAAGCCCATGTCCAGCAGCGCCCCGCAGAATATCCCAAGGAGAACGGACACGAAGAATCAGGATATTATAATCTCTCCACAGCAGCAGTGCTCCAAGAGCTACATGGATCGACACGTGGAAACACTGACTCAATCCAAAGGCTTCCGTCGTAGGCACAATTCCTGTGAGTATTTACGTTATCCTGCGACTTTCCCTTTGCCTGTCTGAGTTGCCGCTGCAACTTCTCCCTTCTTCAGCAAAAAACACTTCAAACGGTGCTGGAAACTTTAGCTTTTGTATTGCTGCCTGAACGTCTGAAGAAGAGGAAGACACATGGTGAGGAGAAAACCTTTGCAAGCTGTGCCTCAAAGTATTAGAAGTATAGATCTTCCAAATGGCTAGTACTTATCTTAAAATCTTTTATGGTTAGGTGATGATGCAATCTCATCCATAACTTGGTATGAATGTTCATACAGTTTCATTAAAGCTTGCAGGGCTGGGCTTATAAAGATATAGGCGTACTCGTGCATAAAATACAGAGATTCAAAATGATTTTACAGTCAGGTGAAGCAGGTTGTGTGACTTGGTCTGCCACTTCTGTAGCGTTTGGTTTGGGTTTTTTTTAAATTTATTTTTTTTAAGGTTTGGGTTTGTTATTGTTTTGTTTGTTTATCTTTTTGTTTGTTTTGTTTTTAAGAAGACTGCATTCTTTTTCTCTAGGCTTCCTTTCATAAATGTGTTCAGGGTGTATTGGACACTGGATTGCTTCACTGATGTCTCCATTGCCATCGCACTGATGCAGACCGTGAATTCTACCTCCTTTTCAGCTGTGGGGAGACTTTAAAACTGTCCCTGGAGTTCTTGAGAGGCAAATTTAGCTCTACTTTTCACTCCTTTTGATTTGTTTCTTTGCTAGATGCAGGCTGGAAAAGTTAATGCAGAGAAGTTAGTGCTGAATAACTGGAGAGTAGATGAGGGTGAAACAACCTAGTGAATGGGTTGGGAAGGTTGTGGCAGAATTTATGATGATGTTATTTGCCCATAAAGGCTGGTGTTACTTAGGTGCCTTGTGGCCACATACTCACTGTTTCTGAGGTCAGAGTGACCTTCGGAGTTGTGTGGGTAGGAAGGGGCTCTGTGGTTGGTTTTATTTATTAGGTTCAGGAGTGTTTTTGATGGGATGTTGGTTGTGTTGTGGGAATTCAGTAAGCTTCCCATGCCCAACCTGATTTGAAATAGAGTTTTTTTGTTGTTGTTTTTTTCTTTCTCTTGAAGTGCTTTAAAGGAAATTAATCTTTCTGACCTTGGGTTGTTCTGTGTGTCTCATTTGAACATGGTAGTATAAAAAGGAATGGTCACAAAAACTGCTTGTTCAGGGCAGAAGCAGGGTGTTATGTACTTCCAAAATGGAATGGTGTTTTCTTTGTGGCAGCATTTCTGAAAGAAGTATGGTTTGCGCCTAATTACATAAAAAGCAAACAGTTCTTTAACAATTAATTTGTTAAAGTGAATATTCAGGATTAATTAGTGAAGTGGAGATCTTCCCCAGCCCAGCCTGTGTATTATTCTGCTTCGCCAGCATCAAATGTTCGAAACTGCCGAGTTGAATAATGCCGGTTACAGTGACTTCTTCATTCCTGCTATCTTTCCTATTTGAAAATTGCCCTGTTGCCAGCCTCCATTTTTCCTCTAAAAGGAACTGGAGACAAATTGCAATATTACAAAACTTTTCTAAAGTTTGTATAGCCGTAACCTATTAGAACGTCACCTTACAAGTAATAACAAATGTTATTGGCTGTGTTGTTCAAAATATAAAAGAACAGACACTAATTAGAATGATGTCAAGATACCATCAGTGCATCTCAGAGTCAAACGTCCATTATTTTTGTTTCCGTTCATCCAATCTCCAGCAAGCTCTCCCGCTGGGCCAAAACTGAGTGTGTTCTTTTTTTTCCTCAAAGCCCCCATGGCTGTGCTCCTTTCCAGATCTTCATCCTGCAATTATTGAAACATGAGTATCTATCCAGCGTATTTCCATGACTTAATTTTTTCCCCTTGCTTTTGTGTTTAGAAAAGAAACAAAACGGAGGGGAGCAAGGCCAGTTAAACGTGGAGATCAAAGACTGTATTTATGTGGAGAAGTTCCTGGACCTCTGGAAATCTTCTTCTCCCACCAACAGCTGCATTATTTTCTGAGAGGGTCGTAACTCTTTTTCTATTCACTTGATTTGAATGATTGCCAAGCAGGGTTGATGGGAGGAGGAAGGCCAGAAAATGCAGAGAGGGAGGCATCGCTCCTTGGTGACCTAACCATCTTCAAGCCTGTCTGGTTTTGAGTGGTTCACTTCTACCCAGGTCTAAACACTGCATAGTGCTTGCTGTAGGAAGGGAGCTGTGGTTCTTTTAAGGTTATTTTTTAAAATTTTCATTCCCTGACTCTTCCTAAATTCCAGTTAGTTGTTTGAGTAAGTTACTTCGGTTGGTTTTAGGAAAACTTTCTAACTTCATTGTCAGCTGCCTAAATGTCTAAAGTGACTCCTGCTTTGCTTTCTTCTGGCTGGATGGTGTGTGTAGGAGGATTACCTCATGAAATGCTGTTTTGCCAGTGCCTGGTAGGTTTGGGGTAAGCAGTGAGTGCTTCAAACCACTTCAACCCACTGGTAGCTTCTGTCAGTTTTACATAAGCACACCAGCAGGTCAGATTTTTTTTTCGCAGATTTTTTTTGAAACAAGTCGAGCAAGGTGCTAGATGTAGATTATTGTTAGCTTGGTTTCATTGTAGGATAAATGAAGTAGAAAAGTGAACTCTTGCCCTCTAAACTGTGTGTGGAGAGTAGGGCAAATGATACGTGAATCTTGGGAGGGGAACAGGAGATGTCCTGGCTGTATGGAGATGGTGTGAAGAACAAGATTGAGACGTCATCTGGGACTTAACCTCATACAGAGTTTAGTACAGCTGAAGGTTGACCTCTTGATGGCCTTTAGCGTGCTAAGTCAGGGACAAAGTTCCCCCTTTGGAGTACTTGTGTGACAAGAATCAATAAACAACAAATATCAGCCCAGGTTTCACAACAATGGCTTCTGTGCCGTGCTGGTGCCAGGCTCGTTCATGCCAGGGCTGGCGGCAAAAGCTCCCGCAGGGATCCTGCAGGAAGGCGGCCAGCTTGCTAGAGACTTTACGTGTGCTTGTGTGCTGTGCATGAAAGGGTTTTTTCCTAAGAAACAAAAGGAACTGGGGAAGTATTGTTTATCTTTTGAGGGAGGCGCTTTTCTGTGGGGTGTCAAGCTGCCAACTCGATGTGGAGGCATGTGTAAGCTTCACGCATACACACGCAAGGCTTTAAGAGGAACACCACAAAACTTTGCTTGGAAATCACTGGAGGCCTCTGCTGTGTTGTGCACAACTTCTGTTGGGAGGTTGTAGCGCAGTCCGTGAGAAGACAGCCAGCTGTGTGGGTCAGCAGTATTTCAGGGTTGGCATCTATTGGTATGGATTAGAGAGCTGCCCACCACAATGCCGGCGTGTCTCATTTTGATGAGGTGCGGTCTTGGCTCCCATTCATTGTGTCTGCAGGGGAGCCCGGAGAGCTTTCCAACCATTGTTTTCACAGCTTTGCTAGCACAGCTTTTTATTCCATCAGCATTTACCCACTGCTCACATCAGCTGCTTCTGTCCCCTGGTTCCATTGTGCAGCCGTGCATCTATCCCCACATTTGGCTTTTCAGGTCAGCTGAGGGTAGCACGGAGTTGTTTGCAGAAGAATCTGGCAATGAATGTAAAAACTCTCATTGGGTAACGGGAATGAACTTGACATTGACACAAGAAGCAGGCTTGCTTTGCCATTGTGTTCATTGTAGGCTCTAGCTTATTCATCTGAACTTCGAGGATCGCCTGACTGTTGCTCCAACCCTCTTGTGTGGGTCTAGGTTTTCATTTCTTGTGTGGCTGCTAGTGGCAGCATTGGATGCGATTACCTTGTCGCTAGTGCAGTTGCCAGCTCCATACCAAGTGGTGTCCAGCTTTGGACTGGATTATATGGCAAATTTGGAAGTTGTGCATTAGTAAGAAGCTTTCCCTTTCTCTCAAAACTGTGTGCAAGTGAGTGGTCGGGGCTTGTATACTGGAATTCTCCTTGCCACAAAGCCTTGCCCTTTCTCTCTCCTAAATCCTATTTTGTCACCAGTGATTCTTGAATTTTGCTGTCTGTCCTACAATGACTTCTTGTCAAAAAGTGTGTAGCAGTAGCGTGTTCTCACCCGGCTGTTTCTAAAAATTCCTCAGAGTCCTTCAGCAGCTTGAAAATCACTGTGCCTGAAAATAAACTACCTGCTGTAGTTAGTAGTAATCTCAAATTGTTATGAATAGAGACTTTATAAATAGGGAGTATTGTCAAAAAGCGGTCACGCTGACCACACAACTCTGCATGGCTGGTTTCAGTTGCTCCAAGATGTGCAGAATAAATATTTCATGCTGACTTCTGTACTGATACCGCTCTTACGAAGAGGTAAGTGGCTTTGTGCTGCGGTTGGTGAATTTTCATGATGCAATGAGGTTACAGAAAATCCAGTAGACAGGGAACCTGTGTTGCTGTGAGAGACTTACACTAATAGCTATCTACCTTTGTAGATGCCCTTTAAGATATTTTATCTAATACATTAGGGAAATTTGATTTTTTTTTATCTCCTCAGTGCTTGCTAGGGATGCTTGAGCAAAACTGTCTTTAAACTGGTGTAACTGGGGCACTCCTCTAGAAGTGTACTTAAACATGCAAGATGATGAGTAAGTAGAATAATGAAATAGAAATAAGGGAATGAACTTCATAGCAGTACAGGAATATGTACCTATCGATAGTACGTGTGAGAAAAAATAAATGCTTTCTATTCAGGGCTTAAAATTTTCCATTTAAGATCATTAGTAGGTGGCCAGCCTGTTATGAAAGAAAACATCACCATTTGTTTCTGAAATTTAGGGACATTCCAAAGAAGGTCTTGGGCCAGATACATGCATGAACATGAACTCAGTATAGGAGGAAAACTGTCCTAGATGACACTAGCTTATCTTAGCACTAATGTGACTAATCATGAATTAGATTAAATGTGGAGAAACACTTAATTTCCTACTGCGGTCAAGCTTGTTTTTCTAACATGGCCAGTGGAAAGTCCCTGAAAGTCTCTCTCCTGATGCTCTTGTTCTATTTTCTGTTAGCTTATCTTAGCATGAGTAATGCCAAAAACGAAGTCTACAGCTTCTTTGGGAAGCGGCTATCTCTTGAGTCAGTGGACTGCAAGCATAAGCTCCCCTCTCTTGGAAACTTTGCTGAGAAAGTGTATGAGTAAGTGTGGCTTTTTCTATTTATGACACACTTTAAACTTGCTTTTATTTTTGTATAGGGTCATCCAGTAGCCGTCATCCAAACCAAGTGACTCCAAAGAAGAGTGGCCTGAAAAACGGGCAAATGAAGAGCAAAGATGATGAGTGCTTTGGGGACGACATCGATGAAATCCCAGATACAGATTTTGATTTTGAAGGGAACCTGGCCCTTTTTGACAAGGCAGCAGTGTTTGAAGAGATTGAAACCTATGAGAGGAGGAGCGGCACTCGTTCCCGGGGCACCCCAAATGAGAAACCAGCTCGCTATCGACACGACGAGAACATCTTGGAATCAGAGCCCATAGTCTACAGAAGGATTGTTGTACCTCAGAATGCTAACAAAGAATTCTGCACGGGTATGCCACATCCCTTACTGATAAGGATGCAAATTCTGCCACTTTTCTGGGGCATATGCGATGGATTTTATTTCCCCAAGGGGTGTTTATCAGCTTAGTGGGGTACAGGCAAGGGCATTCATTTACATAACATTGGATCTATGCCTTGTGTCGATATACAGCCTTTATTTGCAGTATTTCCGAGATGAAAACTATTCAGATAGGTCAATAAGGTAAGTGTTGTTGCAGTAGGGAACAAAACTGATGGTTGGATAACAAGATGGGAAGTGAATAGGAGCCATTTGAACCCTTGCTTTGGTTTCAGTAGCGCGATGAACCTGCATGGACTTGAATCCCAGGATTCTGGTACATGGTAGCATGTTGTAATTTGTGCTTCCTTGGTGAAAGACACATGATTTAATGTGTTTCTGATGCTCGTTAGGTGGTACTTCTATATTTCTGCATGGTTTTGCAGAACTTTAAATGTCAGTGGTGTAAAAAGAAACGATTCTAGCTCTTTCCATTCATCATTCCAAACGTTGATTGTACAAAAAAGGTTTTCTATGTGGGGTCCCCCCTCCTACTTACTGTCCACTGCTGCTGTGTGAAAGATCAAGCCCCAGAAAGGAACAGAAATACGCAGGTAATGGTATTTTCATCAGAAGCCATATATGCAAATTGATTTTACTGTAAGGAATCTTTTTATACGTAAACATGCTGTGAAGTATAGCACGTGTACTTGATGGTGCAGTTGGGTGCAAATTCCCTGTACCTTTAGTGTCGTTGTGGTGCCTTGCCTTCTCTTTGCATGCTTTGTAGCACTTGCAGAATGTAGGAATGAAGAAACTTTGGCATTCTGGGAACATTTCTTTTCCACATCAGAATAAAATCAAACTTCAGATCTTTTTGTAGAGAGACACCAAATAGCTAATATCCTGGTGGTCTGGCCACCAAAAAGTGTGGTGGAGTCCTTGATCTGTCATGCTTTCTCTGCCCAGAAAATCCATCAGGGATGTGAAACGCTTAGCAGAAGGAAGCTGATTTGTTTGCAATGATTTGCTGCTTTTCAATGAAAATAAAAAAATCATCTTTTAATGGTTCTGCTAGAGAACAATGCTGTACTTTTCAATTTATTTCATCCATCTTCCTATTGATCTCTTCTGCTCTCGAATGAAATACAAATGCATTGGGCTATATCGGAACTTGCCCAGCTCAGTATTGTGTTTCCAAAGGATATTTAAGGAAAAGTGAAAGAACAAAGTAAACATGCAGCGAGACTTTCCCCTGAGTGCTTTGTCTTCCACAGTTTTAAGACTTCCTGCAGCAGAAGTGATAGTTCAGTATTAATAGCTTTTGATGAACTGCTTTTTTTTCCTCTTCTGTTTAATTTAACCTATTGCTTTTTAAACCTACACAAGCTTTCAATATCTCTTCAGTGTCCTGTGACAAGAAGCTCCACCGATTGCCTCCGTGCTGTGTGAATAAGCACTTCATTTTCCTATGTGTGATTTACTTTTTGTTTGTTTGTTTTTAATTTTCTGCTTGTCACTTTGTCTTTTAGCTGGCTTGTTTGAGAGGAAGGAGTCTAGTTTGAAACAAAACGTCTATTCGAGAAGTATGGCTTATATAGTTTTCTAGCAGTACAGTTCCTGGGAGGAGAACTCTGACGTGCAATAAACAGTAAGGAAATTCAGAGGATGAAAATGAAATTGTTTTGCTAAACTCCATCATCCTTTGCTATGGAAACTGTCGGCTCCCTGTTTGCAGCGTGCTGGAGAGAGCAGCCTGGTGAAAGCCCTGCTGTTTTCTTGTTTTGTTCTTGGCAAGCCTGCACGGGGAGGGCGGTAAGCGACTCCCCTCTGCAGTTGCAGGCTCTCGCTGGCCTCATTAGCTACTGCGGGGTGATTAGTCCAGGATTTGTTTGGAAGAAAAGCTGTCGTGTCACACAACGGGCAGGGGATTGACAACTCCAGTTCCCTCTCGCTGGTGCTGAGCAGGGCACATTCACAGTCGTATGAATGATGATAAAAGTGTCCCAGTGCTGTGCCTTTCTAGATGTTTTTCCCACAGAGGGTGACTTCCTTTGTGTCTGCTGAGGAAGTTTATTTTTGCTTAGGAAATGCTAATGGCTATCTAGCAAAAGCTCTTGTAAACAGTTGTAACTTGCCTACTGTTCTTGGCATTCAGTCTAATGCTTTTTGTAGTGAGTCAGCCCTCCGAGGGAGAAAGATATTCGGTGTGCTTGGAGTAACGATGGACTGTCGCTTGAAAAAAATACCCGGTTCTTTGTTTAGCAACTGGAAAGAGGATGCTAAGCTGTAGGCAGCCTGCCTCTCTTTGTGGCTCCGAGAGCAGCAGCTGCTGAAATTAAGAGAGTGTCAGTAGCCCCATAAGGCATGATTTTGGATATGTCTGGGGCAGGAATTCTCTTTCTGCTTCTGAATTCTCCCTCCAGAGTTGTCTCCGGACCCCTAAGGGGAGCTTTGCTTGCAAAAAGCAATTCCTAGTTAGAGGGGAAATAAGTACTTTAATTTTTTTTTTCTCCCTAAGCCAATCTTGAAGATGATTGTCTTAAAAGAGCTCTGGCTGATAAAATGATTATTCTGTCTGCTATAATAGCACGAACAAAGTGATGCTGGTGAGTGACAGTGAGTGAATATCCAGCTCTTGTCACTGTGGGAGAGGAAAAGTCTATGAATCCTTGCATGCTCTTTAATGCCGTGTTTCCATGGACTTAGAAATAACCAGGGTTGTGCAGCGGTAAAACCTGCAAACTGCTGATGCCAGTTCTCCAAAAGACTAATCTGCAGGGCTCCCGGTCTGTGTTTTGATTACTGACTGAATAAATCAATCTGTGCAGGATGTAAGCAAAGCCTGAGAAACACTTCAGTTCACCAGGATGCTTTTCTGAGAGCTAATTTCATGGAGCCAGACTGTCATGCAGGTGTACTAGCGTGTGTTTTTGAAGTGAGTAGGGACTGAAGGTGAGGATCTGTTCTGGAAAAAAAAAAGCAACCAACAATTCCAAAGCTAACAGAGCTTTCCAGGTCGTTGATCACGACTGAGCTGAGTCCATCCCTGGGGTTCCACATCTGAATCTCTCCCAAATATATACTTAGTTTTTATATACTCTTTTGTGCTGGCTGCTATTGCTCTGTCTCTCTATTTACCGCTACGTGGTGCTTGAAAGGGGAAGTACAGCTGTTTAACAGAAATCTGCCTCCCTGGAAAGGCTGATCCCTTTTATGAGGTGTGAGCTGTCTTTTTCTATTTCCAGAGCTGTCCGGCTAGAGATCTGCAATGTTTTTCAGCAGAGATCTGTCTCTGTTCCTTCTGCTGGCTATCAGCATTGAAACAACCCATGTTTGAACAGCGTGGTGTTTTGGGATCAGGTCTTCTAGCAGTAAGTGCAAAGCCAATGTTTTGCAGGTATGTTGGAGCTCAGAGGAGTTTCCAGTAGCATGGAGTATCTCACTTCATCACCAGTGTCTCAATATAGTATAATCTCAAGCATACCAGACTCTCCAAATTGTGGTTTTTTTGGCAGTTCATATCCCCTTTCCTTTTAACTTTTTTTCCTACCAATAAAGTGTCTTTATGAGCACAGAGAGATGGGTAAGGAGGAGAGCTGTGTGCCAGAGGCAAGGTATGGATTGCTTTCCCTGATGTGCTAGCAAGGCTTTGTCCAAAGTTGGTTCCCTTCTCGTTAATGCTGTTAGTGTAGAAAACAGGCTGTTTCCATCCCAGTGTCTCTTCTAGAAAAGAAGTGGGATTTTTCAAACTCAGCTGCTTTAGAAATATGTGGTAGCCGTTTGTCAAGTGAAAGCAGGACTGTGCTCAAAGAAATTGGACTGTCAATATTTCTCAGTGTTCCCCCTAGCCAGACTTCAAGCCTGTCCTTCAAGAAACCTTTTTTCCCCCACACTAAGGAGATGGCGAACAAAAAGGTGTGCTTAGAAGTAAATCAATACAGCAGGCAGAGCTTATGTTGGACTACAGAACTAAGTCTGAGTCTGTTCTGCAAGGATGATGCCGACAGTATTGCTTTTTTTTAATCGTGTGCCATGTCCTTGGCTGACTTTTCTACCCTCTAGCTTTTAGCTTTTCAGTCTATGGATGACTGCCTTACAGCGATTGTGTATATTGAATGTGTGAAGTGTTTCTGGGATCTTTGAGCCGAGTGCAAATTGAGTTCACTTTATCCAACCGCAGGAGAAAACAAAGTGGTCACGGAGCAAAATCTCTTTTGTCCTTCAGACAGTTTTCTTTGCTCAGCCAGGGTGAATTGTGCACTGATGCTGGGAGAGGCTGACACTGCAACTTGGGCCAGAACTTCTGCAGAATTTGTCTTAATTAAAAATAATGATTAAAAAAAAAAAATCTAGCCCTTAAGCTTGTGGAGAAAATTGTTCGTGTTTGTGGAGCAAGTGACTGTATTGTGCTGAGTCTGCAGGAAGGCGGCTCCAGCTTTACAACAAGCAAAAGACAGCAAGTGATGTCTGCCCAAACTGGACGAGAGTTACACGTGCTTCATGTATCTTAGCTCAGAAGCTCTGTGGCTCTGGAAACTGGAGTTATTTGTTGCTGAAGGACAGAGTTTAAGGCTTTATGTACAGCTTTCAGGAGATCCGAAGTCTAGTTCCACCTCATCCATTCCTGTAGCTTGCCTGTATTTATTTTAGCAGCTGGAGAGGTGCTAAAATAGTCGAGAGAAAAGATGGGGCTTACACACTGAGCAGCAGCCCTCTCTTTTTATTTCCTGCGACTGAAGGCATGGGAGGCATTTGAACATCTGCCAGCAAGGTTGCTCTGGACTCGTTTGGGGAAAAACCTCTTATTTCATTAACTTCTAGAGAGTTAACTCGGTCCTTCTGCTGCCATAGGGTGTTTTAATCCAACTAGGATGCGTGTAGCATTGCGTAGTGGAGATAACTTGGTTGGAGTTGTAGTGCCCAGGACAGAGCGCGCCTCAAACTCAGGATACTTGGTGTTTAATCAGGCTTCAGCAATGCTCTGCGTGTCACAAAACCGTTTAGGCTCTGCCTGCCTCTTTTTTTTTTTTCCCCAGGCAGCTGTAAAAAAATACATTTATTTAATATTAAAAGGCCTGAGCTAATTTATTTTATTACCTTCATTACTAAACAATAACGATGCACTGTCCAACCCAAACATAATTAAAGTTGGCAGGAGTTCAGTTTTGGGGCAGTAGGGTTATTGTTTGCGGGTTTACAAGTTGCCTCTTTGATTGCTTTCTGCCAGAGTTTATTTAACTCCCTCGGCCTGGTTTTGATAAGCCTGTCTGACTGGTTGGACCTTGCGTGAGTGTGGAGAGGGGAAGTTCTCTTGGCATTTAAGCCTGCTCTTGAGAGGGAGCAATTAGGACAAAGTGTAGCGCTGGCGTGCTAAATAGTGCTAAATACGAGTTCATCTCGTGCCTCTGCTGCCTCCCGGTAACCCCCTCTGCGTTAACTCACTGGGCTCTGGTCTGCATCTGGCTGATGGTAAATGTGGGTTCACTGAAGCTTGAGGTCTGGGGGAAGCGGTCGAAGGAAAGGTGTAAATGGTTGCAGGGAAGACGTCAGCAGCAGTCCTACTAAACTTGGTAGCTCCAAGGTGTAGATTGGACCTACACCTTCAGCCTTCTCGTTGGGGGAGTCTGTGTGAAATTTAAGCAGGGAATTTGTGACCCTGCAGTTCAGGAGGAGCAGAATGCCAGCCCCCTGATTCAGGTTAGCAGAGGATGCGTCCCATCAAACTGTCTGGAGAGATCCTGACCTCAGGTCGCTCATTCCAAGTTTTCCCTCAAGCTTGAAAAATGAGACTTGATGAAGTTGCAAAAAAGTGTGAACGGAGAGGACAAGAGGCAGAGCGGAGCCTCGCGTGACTCCGGAGGCTAAGAGGGGGTGTGAACGCAGGGCAGGTGCGTGACTGGTGTGACTGGTGTGGCTTAGGATTATTAGTGGCTTATGACTCCGAATGTTCAGCGGCTGCTATCGGGAGTCTGAAATGGCTTTGATAATGTGCACGCTCGCACGTGTGCTGTATGTAATGAAGGGCTGTTAGCGGAGGTAGCTTAATTGGTGGTTAGCATGCGAGGTCAAGTGTTTGGCCCTCCTTATCCATGAAGTGCTAGCCAGGGAGTTCAGAAATGAAGGCTTGAAGGATTCAGC